AAGGGAGGAATCTTTGTTGGGCTCATTCCAGTCGCTCATTTGATTGTCTCAGTGACCTTAGCTTCTACAGGCCCATAAACAGGTTTCTTCTCTGACAAATGGGAGGGCTGAGGGCTGGAGTTGTTAAATAGTTGGCAAACTCCATCTGTCATGGAGTTCAGCGTCTGTCATGCAGTCCAGGTTCAACCCTGGCCATAAGCAACAAGGCTTTGGGAGCCACATTCTTCCGCTCTAAGGCGGTGTTTCTCAACATTCTCAATGCTGTGAGCCTTCAACAGCAGTTCCTCATGTTGGGGTGACCCCAACCATGAAATTACTGTTGTTGCCACTCCATAACTATAAGTTTGCTACTGTTATGAGGGGTAATGCAATTATCTGATGTGCAGGATATCTGATATGTGGCCCAAGAGTCATTAGACCCAGAGGGGTCACGACCCACAAGTTGAGTACCACCACGCTAAAATGACTAATATTTGTCATTTCACAGGTCCTCCTTTCTAAGCTGACAACACTGACCAGTGAACGCAGCAGATTGTGAAGATACCCTGATGTAGGAAGCCATGCTGTACGCCAGGGGGCAGAGCCGTCACGCTCAAGTCTCAGCGACTGGCTGGCTCCTGGCAGCACACAGCTGGTGGCAGAAGGAGGGAGGATTGCTGAAGGAGGCTTTGCTTGAATGTTGACATCAGAACGGAAGGCAGGAAGGGTGTGGGGACAAAGACACATCATCACCTTGGGAAAGACAGGGACTGAGTTCCTGCAGTGTCCCCGGCTGCTTTGCTGGGTGTCCCGAGACAGACAGTGGGGAGGGAAGGCTGGGTGTAGGGAGGACAGTGTAAAATAACACATTCTTTGTGTTTTTCCTTTTGCTGGTGGCCAAGGCACCACCCTAAGCTTCATGATCTGTGAATGGAGATTGGGCCACTGCCAAGCCAGTCCGAGAAGCAGGCTACTCATTGAATTTGACCACCCGCCACTACTCACGTCCTAGTAACTCTGGTCACCTTCCTGTTCTCAAACCATTAGCAGGCAGGGTCACTGCACCTGCTAGCAGTTAATCATAAGCCAGCTCCTACTGCGGGAGCTAAGAGACTTATCAACCCGGAGCACATAGGTAATTCTTGTTGACTTACAATTTGAAGGCATATGCTCACCCAGATGGAGGGAAAACATACATGTCTGTGCCCAGGCTAGGGATTCCCAGGACTCTTCTTGGCTGCTGGCAGCTTGGACACATAAACTAACCCACACCATAGTGCATGCCCTGCACTTAGCAAATGACAGACACTTGCCTGAGATCTGCTCTAAAGACCTAACCTACCCAGTGTGGAGTCAGGAGCAGGAGACCTGGCGTGATCCATGAGACTGGAGTTTCTGGCACTCCTGTATCAGACACACCAAAGATGCTCTTTACAAAGGGGCAAAGCTTTGGGTGATACTCCCTCTCCCCGCCTTTGCCCTGTCTGCAAGTCTGGGAAAAACAGCTCCATTACACTGATGAGCCGGTCACTGCCCGAGGAGAGACGAGGGCTGACCATGCAGTACAGCTGGATAAAAGATGGCTGTCACTTGCCCAAGCGCCCCTGGAATTTGCCTCTGGGGCCCTTACACGTCAGTCTGGAGGACTTGCTCAGTAAGAAGTGGATAGTGAAAAGCTTACTTACTCTTAAGGACTAAAAAGCCACGTAAAAAGAAAATTTAAGCTTGGGAATTAGAGAGACCCAGAGAGAAGCACACAAATTAGAAGGGAGGAGCTCAGGTGATTGTCAAAGTGCAGCAGTACTAAACCCCAGGTCACAACCCCTTTGGGGGCCAGATGACCTTTCACAGGGGCAACATATCAGATGTCCTGCCTATCAGATGTCTACATTGTGATTCATAACAGCAGCAAGATTACAGTCAGGAAGTAACAACAAAAATAATCTTACGGCTGGGCGGTTCCCACAGCAGGAGGAACTGGGTTAAAGGGTAGCAACTTTAGGTTGAGAACTACTGCTGTAGTGTGAGCATACCCAAGTCAATGAGCACGCCCCCACACCCGAGTCATCTCTCGGCAAGCACCCTCCGCCCTCTACCCAGAAGGCTACGTGTGTATTCTTATAAAGTAAATCACCTAGTGGGAGGCTTTCCCACCTGCCCTTGTCAGCCGTCTGCTTAAATTTCATCCCAGTTTTATGTGACTTATCCAGCTGCTGGAGCCTCAAGGCTGCCAGTCTTGGCAGCCCCATGTGAAGTGGAACTTGCTGTGGAGCAGCCTCCTGGATGTTTCTAAGCCTCTTGAAATGGGTGTCTGGACTGTTTACAAACAGGAGATCCATCTGAGCCCCCCTCCCCACCAGCACTGAAGGAGCACGTGCTTCCAGTATCTGGGAGGGTTGCCCATGAATATGGAGGGTAGGGGGTGGTAGGCCTCACTGCTGGGCAGCCCAGCCCAGGCCGCATCCTCTCCCTGCTGGAAGACCTTTCATTTCTAGTGCAAGCATTTGGGAGTTATACATTTCACTCTCGCTGCTGCTTTAGCTACATGCTGTGGATGCTAGGTGTCTTTTCTACAGGATTCATTCAGTTCTGTAGAAAAACATTTCCTTCCAGGCTTCTCCCCCCCCCCCCAGGGCTACTTAGAGGAATGCTCTCTATACGTGTGCAGAATTTCTCCATGTGGCGCTTTATTAGTTTGAAGTATTTAATTCATTATGATCCAAGAACAGACTCTGTGTGGTGTATGTTCTTCTTAGATTTGTTGAATTTGAGAGCAGATCTACTTCAATGAATACCCCACGAGGACCTGGGAGAATGCCCAACTGTACTCTTTCTGTGGGGTGTTCTATACATCAGTTGCACAGAAGCTTCTGGTAGCTCGTGTTGCTCAGCTTCTCTACATCTTGTCTGATTGGCACTCCGGTTGCTTCTCACTGTGTTTGGGCAAATACATTTATCGACTGGATGCCAATGAAAATAAGCACCCTCCAGCACAATGACTCCTAACGGTTTCTGTAAATGTTCATATAATTCACCCTTTTAACACCTTTCTAGTTTTAGCCATCCCTGGAGACTGAGTTGCAAATCTCTTGCGAACAGCAGGTGACTGGCTATTCGTTGCCCCCATGCAACCAGCTGGTCCTTTGACTGTACTCTGGTCATTTACATGTAAGGATGCTTTATGATACATCAGGGGAAATCTGTTGTTCTGTTTATTTCAGCTTGTTACATCCAATTTGGGGCTTTTCTGCTTTTATCTTCCTGTCTTCCATTTTTAAGACACTACATCTTGGTACGTTTAGGGTAATTGAGTTTATCTCCTCCCCCCATTTTGTGATGGTTGCTCTGATTATTACAGCAAAATGAGTGATTTTATCGTTGTCTGGGGGTGGTCAATTTTTTACTACTTAATTGGGCTGGAGAGATGGCTCAGTGGTTAAGAGCACTGGCTGCTCTTCTAGGGGACCTGGGTTTGATTCTTAGCAACCATACGGTGCCTCACCATCATCTGTGACCACAATGTCAGGGAATCCGATACCTTTTCTGGCATCCAGCGACATCATGCATCCACACAGTATGCAGACATGCATACAAACCAAACACCCACACACATTTTTAAAATCACTGTATGGTTTGACTTGTGCACACTCAATCTCATCTACATGTCTTAACAGCCCCACTTCAAAATGAGCATCAGACGCTATTGAAGTATTTTCTTCAATCATCAAATATTAATTATAGAGCCTGTAAGGAAATGGTGGCCACACCGTATTTACAGCCACAGCAGTTTAGCTTTCTTTCTTGAGGCTCTCTCTCTCTCTCTCTCTCTCTCTCTCTCTCTCTCTCTCTCTCTCTCTCTCTCTCTCTCTCTCTCTCTCTCTCTCTCTCTCGTTCCTTTCTGTTTGAAGACCGCTGGTGCCAATCTTCAGTCGGAGGTACACTGGCTAGCTTTTGTCCACTTGATACAAACCTGGGAATAGGGAACCTCAATTGCAAAGCTGCTCCTGTCAGACAGGCATGGGGAGCAAGCCAGTAAGCATGGCCTCTGCTTCAGTTCCTGCTGGACAGCCTGCCCTAGCCATAACCAACAGTTTATAAATTAATATAGCATCCTTGTTTTCATTTGGGGCTGAAGGGTGATGGGACCAGGCTGGAAAGAAACTCCAGCTACACTCAAGAGACAGAGGAACTAGCATGTTCCTGGTAATCTTCTGTCTTACTGTCCAGTGTTAGTATTGCAAACGGATGCCACCATAATCACCGTTTTTACATGAATTCTGTAGAGCAGATGTAGGTCCTTGTACCTGCAGGGCAAGTGCTTCAGTGACTGGGTCATTGCCTCGGCCTCTTAGGGAGGTTTGGTTTTAAATTTCCACCAACATACCTCTAACTTCATAGCTTCTATTTCTCGTAGGTGTTTTCTAAATTTTTCCTTAAAGGGAATTTGTATTTGTTTGTTGAAGCATTTTTTTTTAATGATGGCTACTTTGAAATCGAGCCTCTGGTGCCTCTTGATGTAGGCATAATCTAAGCCATGATGAGATTTCCTGGTAGGGCAGGTAATTTTCCATTGTATTTCAGACATTTTGCATATTACCCAGAGCCTGCAGACTGTGAGTCTTGAATCTTTTACTTGGGCAGACAGCACCGCCATTGTAATGCTGAGTGAGCAGGCAAGGGCCTGCTCTGTGGGCTGTGGTTCCCCCAGCAGTGTAACCGGCACAGCTTCCCAGGCTGCTGATCTGCTGTTTATCTAGAATCCTTGGGTCCCCCACCCCCCTCAGCTGGCTGAGCGACAGAGGGGAGTCTGTAGGTGGGAGAGGGGTACCTCAGGCCCATGCAAGGGAGTGGCTTTCGCCTTGGTGATTTGCCCTGCCTGGTGTGTGGTGATATTTAGTGCATGATGTAACCTACAACTAAGGTTGTCTTCTGATCTTTACACACCACACACTCACAAACACACAAAGGTGCACACACATGCATACAAAAGACAAGAACAAAAGAAAACAAGACATGTTTCATTACTTACCAAGGTCATAAATTTTATTATACTCTGAATAAGGCTGATATTTAAAGAGCAGAGAAAATGCCTATACAAAAGGTTTATAGAACACTCATTTACATACTGGATATATATTCTTTACAATATAGAATAGTGAAAACTGCGCTAACAGATAAGACAGATAAGGCAACATTACAATGTCTTTGACACTGAGGATAAATGCATTGCGGTTTCTAACATGGGTATAGTCCAACACTGGAGACTATAAGACCATTAATGAGAAGGTTAATGGGACCCTGGCTATCTATTGGAAGTGGTAGGTAGGGCATCACTGAATTTACTCCCAGGAGAATGTAACTTGTGCCCAAATGATGCCCGTGGGCAATGCCCCTTCCCAGTGTTTCTGAGCACACAGTATAGTCTATGATATTGTGTCTCACCTTGCTCTGTTCAATAAACAGCTACACACAGAAGACAGAACCTAGTCCTACCAGCTTGTAGAGCTGTCTTCCTGTGGTTCCTCAGAGCAAATTCCGTAATACCCTTGACCACTGCCTTGAGTAAAGGTCACATCTGGTCAGTCAGTTTTGAAAGCACATTCACGTGGCTTCTTGGATGCATTCCATCGTGGGAAGCCCTGAAATCCCAATTAATTAGAAGGCTTGCTTCAGCTCTGCCCTGCTGATTTCTAATCAGGCTGTCTCCCCCTCCAGCAAGGAACCTGGCCTATGGTCTTTGGGTCACATTTACATATAAACCATCGTAGGACGTGGCACTTCTTGGCCAGAGCACAAACTTCAGTCCCCACCCCACCCCATCTGGGTTTTAGCTGCATATGAATAGCTGAAACACTAGAAGCCTCTGTGGAAGACATGGGGCCTCTAGGGAATGATGCACGTTCCCTCTAACAGGCACATCAGAGTGTGTCCACGAAGGAGGTCCTTAGAGACCAAGGCAAACATTTGGCACAGAAATGAGGCACTTGCTTTTGGTGCATCAATAGGAGCTAAAAAGTGGAATGGTCCACCTGTATACATACAGACACATACAGGAGCTAAAAGTGGAATGATCCACCTGTAAACACACACAAACACACACATGAGCTAAAAGTGGAATGGTCCACCTGTACATACATACACACACACACACACACGCACACACACACACACACACACACACACACACACACACACACACACACACACACACACAAAACCAGAGCTGATTTCAATTCTACATGTAGTTCCATCTCTGCCCCCTTTTGAAACAGAGGATCCACCATGTAGATTTTCAAACCCAGCCTGACAATGGTCGCCTATCCCAGCTACGAGATGTGTAAGCTGGCACTGGGGACTATAGAAATCAGAGCGTGGGGATTTCAGGCTGGGATGGGGATGCTCGAGCCTTCCTGGGGTGTGACGTTCTGAGAGAAGGAGACTCTGGCTTTGTCTCCCAATAGCCCTGCTCTACCTCCATTCCGGGAAGTGCAGGGCTCACTGGCGTCTTCAAAAATCCCTGACCACTGACAGAAGCAGGCAGGAAGCCTGCAACACTGGGGTGCCGATCTTAGCATGAGCCATCGCACCTGACTCAGCAAATCAAACCTAGTCTGTGAGGACTACAATTCCCAATCTTTCTCTTCGTCCCCCTTCTCTCCCTCCCGACACCCACATAGGTCCCCATGGAAGCTGCAGGTGCCGCAGGAGAATCATGGTAACAGCTTAGAAATGCCACATGCACTGTAGATCCCGCAGGCCCGGAGAGGGCCCAGTCAGTCTTGCAAAGGAGGCCGAGACTGATCCCAGCATCTTAGTCTCCCACATCTCCTGGACATTCCCATCAGGAAGAGATGACCCACATATGGGCAAGACATGTCGCTGTGCAAACAGAGGGTGGGCTGCTTGAGGCTGAACCGCTTGGCAGAACTGAAGATGAAGGACTGCGTGGTGTCACCCCGAGACCACTGCTCACCTTCTCCTTGAAGGGACAGTTGTCTCTGGTGTGTCTACAAGGGGACGATCCTTCCAGCAATCCCGGCTTAGTCGGCTGCAGCACATGACATGGCAATGGCAAGCAGTTATAAATAATTTGGCATAAGTAAAATATAAATTACATAAAATGGCGTTTTTGATTCCGTCTTCTCATTTTCCTTCCTAGGTTCTCCCCAGCCCAGCTGGCCACCTGCGAGTAGGATCGTGGGGTCCTCACACCCGCAGTGGGGTCTCTGACACTGCACGCTTCTCCCCGACACCAGAGGCTTCCACTGCCCTCACCTCGCACCCCTTCAACCGTCCCCTAACTTAGACTCCCAACCATGTTCCAACCTGCGCGAACCTTCACTAACCATGCTTCCCCTCCTCCTCAATTTCACCACCGTCCACCGTAGAAAGACCAGACGAGGGAGTTGCTGGTCAGAGCCCTTCTTCTGACAAGTGGGGCACCAAGGTTACTCAGCCCCTGCCAAGCAGGGTGGGTGTTCCTCATCCACACAGATGCTAGTGAGCCAGGGACTCAGGGCTGCCTTGTCTTCTAAACTCTCTCCTTGTTACAGCCGTGCCCGTGGGATGCTGGCCCAAGATCCTTCCACTCAAAATGCGCCTGACTATGTGGGTGAGTTGGATGAGAAGTTACTCTCAGGAAAGGCCAATCTGTGGTGACGTTGTCTCTGTTTTGAAGAGCTGCCATAGTCTCCACCCTTGGGTCTGGAATGTGAGGATTGTCAGTCTGGTACAAATGGGGGCCCGCCATTACGAGGGCCTTGTGAGGCATCTGGCGGGCTTGGCTGTAACGGACTTAGATCTTCTTAGGGGAGCCAATCATGACCTTTGACACAAAGTTGACAATGGCACTGGCAGGCTGCTCGGGGTCATGCTCTGCAAACAGGTGGCATACGTTGTCTGTAGCACTGCCCTGCTTCCTGGCCACGAATCCGAAGACTCTGCGAGAGACAGGTCTGGGTCAGAATAGCTAGTACACTGTGCAGCACCACACACACTTGCACCACACATGCAGGGCATCGTTCTCACACAGCAGCAACCTGGGAGCAATAGCAACTGTACCTATGCCAGGCTATGACGTGCCAAGCACGAGCTTGGACACCTATCCACCACCCTGACTCTGGTCCCTGGAAACCGCAGCGAGAGGGAGTGCTGAGCCTAGAGGAATGCTACCCCACCCTGGATCAAACCTGAGGCTCTGCCTGCTCCCTAGCACCCTCTTCCACAGGGCTAAGAGATCTTCTGGACACAGAGCCCTGAGCTCCAGCTAGCCATGAAAATCAGGGTATCCTCTGGAGAGTGAAGGCCTTAGGAGCTCCAGGAGAATACTAGAAGCTCCCAGCCCTGACTACACCAGACACCCAACCCAGAAGGCTAATACACCAAGGACTCCTCTCGAGCCTGTGAGACTATGATCACGTCAGGAAGCTGTGGCTGTCTGCTACCACTGGTCAGTTCTCCAGATCTGGAAACCCTGAAATGGGCCTGCCGGGAAGGAGGCATGTGATGACCACGGGAGATCAACAGCGTAGAGTATGTGGAGGAAGCCAGTTGGGAGGCAGAGGGAAGCCCCTGTAGCAGGGGTGAGGATTAGGCTCCCTGACCACCTTGATGGTAATGTTGGAATGAGAACTTGCCCATCAAAGGTACAGGACATGGTCCCCTGAGTTTGGAAGTGCTGGGCGTGGGCTTCAGGTCTGCTCACACGCATAGATCTGGGGACCTCAGCAGTACTGGCACTCTCTTAAATGGCTGGACTGAGGTAAGACACCTGTCTCAAGTGTGTAGGAAAAAGGACAACACAGAAACAATATGGGCAGTGCGCATCCATCCCACCACAGAGGACAAGCCAACACCATGCAGGCCTGCACTCTAAAATCTGAACACTTTTCCTTATTTTCAGTCTAACCCCAACAAACGATCCCACTGACAATCACTGCTTTGTCGTGTTTGGTCTTTTAAATAAGCCCTTCTTAGCACATCTAGAACTGAATTTAGCTCTGCACTGTTACTAGCCTCAAAAAGAGAAGAGACGCTGGCCACTTACTTGGAGGAAGGGCCATCTTTGATCCACCTTGAGATTGAAGAGACAAAGAAGTTATGTTAATGCTTTAAAATTCAAGGATGAAAGGACACTTCAGTTATAAAAATGCAGAATTCTTACTTCCTGTCTTGTGGGTCCAAAGCACAGAAGATCACAGTGCTCACAGGGTAATGTCTCCGGAAGAAGAGCCTGTTGGGTGGGCAGAGAGAGGGCAGTTCCAGTCACTGGGATCTAGGATGACGGAAGATAGTCTAGGTAGGTCTGTCATTTCCCTAGCAGGATTTTTGTGGAGTAGAAACGATGCCTTTACTTGTCATTTGGGGAGAAGAACCAGGTATGTGTTTATGAACACAATCAACAACCTGAAACCAGTTGGAGGGTTCTCGCCGGTGGCCAACAGAAGCACCATGAAGAGTGACCGCCACCTGGCAAGGTAGCTGATGGATCTGCCAAGGCTGAGCCCATGTCAACAGCACCGTGAGTGGCATGTGCCCAATGCTCTTTTAGAGTTCTTAAATTCTGGGGGAGGCATTCTGTCATAGTTTTGAGAGAAGGAAAAAACCAAGCACCAGAGATTAAGGAGTCTGCTAGGGGTCATGTGCTGTAAGTGCGGCGAGAAGCTCTGTCAGCAAAGGCAGATTCTGCTCTGTGGCCCTTGCCCTTGCACTTAGCCCAAGCGTTTGTTTCGTCCTCAAGAGGTGGGTGGAAGATCCCGTCTTCAAACGATTCAGCAACTTAGGAAGATGAAGACAAGGTCTCCCGTAAAGAACTGGCCCTGGGGAAGGCACCGCAGCTGTGGGGTCTGCAGGGAGACTCCTGGTGCACGGACGGCTCAGTGTGGCCTGGGCTATGTCCTACGCATCTGTCACAAGGGCTCCTGACACCACACTGTGTTACTTTGGCACGAGCTGCCCACATTTATGGAAGCAATGGTGCAAAGACAGAAAGAAGCCAACTGGTTCCAGTCCGTCTCGGCGATTCTAAAGTAATGACCTGAAAGACTCTGCTTCTTAAACAAAATGCTTAAAAGAAAGCAGTCTTGGAGCTGGAGAGCTGGCGCATGGGTAGCATCTGCAGAGCAATCACGAGGACCTGAGTTCAGACCCTCAGCACCCATGTAAAGATGGGTATGCTGGTGTGAGTTGTAACTCTAGCAATGGAGGGACTGGGGGACTGCATGGCCCTAAGCAGATCCCTGGTGCTCACTGACAAGCTAGTCCAGCCAAAACAGTGAGTCCCAGGTTACTAAAAGTCCCATCTCAAAGAACAGAATGGAAAATGGCTGGACATTGCTGCTGACCCTCCCGCCCCATACTTACTTTCTCTGGTTGTCAGTCAGGGTGATACCCTGAGCAGACACCTTGAAATGTACCACTGTGGACACCGGAGGTGGCTCCTGAACCAGGGTCATACTCAAGGCTTTCTGGACTGCCTGGTGACCAGTGAGGGACTCCATTTCCACAGAGTTCAAGTACCAAACATTGCAGGCTGCAAGACAACGGGGAAGCGTGAGAAGGACATCAGCCAGGACTGTTGAGGACACACATGCTCTGGCACATGCAGAGAGACCAACCAGAAGAGGAAAGGACCAGGGACAATTTGAATGTGTGACCCAGGCCAGCAGCACCGGCGAGCACACGCTCCCTGCTTTCCAGTGTCAAGCACACACTTGCTCCAGGGCCAAGAAGAGGATGTAACAAGGCCTGTTGGGGAGAGAAATACTGTGTACATTCAGGGTCTTCCCTGGTATCGGCGATAATAAAGACAATGCTTACAGTAACACAAATGCCCAAAACTATGATGAGTACGGACACTGAAATCCCTGAGAAACATCCACGAGGTGACTCCGTTCTACACGCTACCTTGTCTAAAGAGAGGGAAGGGCTTACAGAGGAGCTGTGGAGAAACGGCTTGCAGCCCAGTGTCTTAGTGCATACACCCCCACCTGCCAAGCTCCCAGCCACACTGCCAAGTGAGGGTGTTCTCTGTAGTCATCTCCTCTCAGGAGGTCGAGGACAGTAACTGAGCAGACGTTCAGCCCCGAGGACCCCACCGCCTGTTTGGCCCCTCTTCCTGCATTACAAACAGTGGTTAACACAGATCTGAGAGGGTAGAAGCTGGTTTGTTAGCACAAGGGATGCTTTGGGCTCTGCATGAAGATCATTCACTGAAGAAAACCAGAGCCTCCAGTGCAGAGATGGAGACGGGCCCTTTTCCTAGAAACAATCCTGCCTGTCCCCTCTGAGACTCCTGCTGAGATCCGACTGTCACGGTGGATATTAAGAGGGTTTCATGGCTTTCACCAGAACAGAGTGGGTGGCTTCAAAAGTGGGGCTCCCTCTTGGCTTGCCCCCCTTTACACCACCCTCAACTGCCTTTCTGTTTCCTGCCTGAGTGGAAGCAGCACAAAGCCACCCTCAGAAGCCAAGCAGACGACAACACCATCCACAAACTTCAGAAACATGAGCCAAAATACAGCTTTCTCCTTCATAAATGACCCCATCTTGTATGATGTTAGAACCGCAGAGGACAGATTAACAATGGAATTGCCCCTGCTGGCTTCACTTTGCAGAAGGCAGCATGGGATTATACTAACTGTGCCTCAAACGCCTCAGAGCAGTGGTTCTTATCCAGTGACGCCTTTGGTGAGGTCCCTGAGGTGCTTCTGCCCTCTCTGCTTAGCAGCAGCAGGTACCACACCTTTCCACAGGAGCACCGACACGAGTCCAGTCAGGGGGACCAGAGAGGACTGCCACAGGAGGTTGCTCCAAGGAGACCTAGCCCACTGGAGCCGAACAATGGTGCTGTTCCTCTCTACCATGCGAGCCAGAAGGTCTGAGGCCCTGAGCTTCAGGGAGGGAGCGCACAGTGTAGCCATGGTGGAGAAGGGAAAGAGGAATGCGGTCTTACTGACAAGTTGATTGGAAAAGGAAGGCCTCTGCCTTCATTTGGGAGTTAGAAGAGTCAGTCAGGACTGAAGCTTCACTGGCCCCAGAACAGAAATGCTAGGAAGGAAGGTCTGTCCTGCGCCAAAAGGGGAGTAGACACTGAGAGGAAACAAAGAACCTCTGGAGCTCGAGACAAGTCGCCTCACTGCCTTTAGGCAGCGTTAGGCTATGAGCTCAGCTCCATGGCTGAGCACCTGTCCATCCCCAGCACCGTAAACCAACCCAACAGGACTTCCTAAACTCACAAATAACAGTTTCATCTGAGGTGCTTTATTTTCATTTACACTCATGAAAAGGAGCTTGACCACCCCAGTGTCTAAATGCAAATCGGAATTAAGAAATTTCTAACCCATATATATATATACATATATATTAATATATATATTCTATTTACTATTTTAAGCTTAACCTAGTACCTCTTAGTCATAATGATGCCAAAGAGCCCCAAAGAACTGTCTATTTTTTATCGCCTCTAGTTTGCAGACAAGGAGATTAGGCTCAGAGATGATAAACATTGGAAGTCACCACCCCTGAGTTCAGGCCAAGGCAACTTTGCTAGAACAAGCTTCACAGACGACTTCAGTGTTAGATCTGCCTCACAATCGCAGTGAGGCCGTGACAGGGGACCGCAAGCCTTGTTGGTTTACTTGCATGTCAGCTCCCATCTAAACTAGCGGCTTTCCCGTGCTCTCTTGGGAAAGACAGCAAGGCGCCAAAAATTCTTAAAATTAAAACTGTCCAAGGCATAAAGCCCACACAGCTCTGATGCAATGGGTACCTTTTATGCTGGGGTAGCCAGAGCCCATTCTGGATAATTAAGCCACATATATCGGGAGGATCTTAGAAACCTGGAGGTAAGTTCAGGGTCCCACTTCTTCAAAGGTACAAAAAGAAAAATCTTCCATAGTATGTGTGACACAGCTAATCTACAGAGGAAGACATTCATGCCGCATGCCTTACAGTAGGAAAAAAAATGGAAATAAATGGAATCTTGAAATTCGCAGGTAAATGGATAGCACTGGAAGAAACCATCCTGAGTGAGGTAACCCAGTCACAAAAAGACAAACATGGTATGTACTCACTCATATATGGATTTTAAACATGGATCAGGAGAGTGCCAGTCTGCACTTCCACTGACAGAGAGTTTGGGAAACAGGAAAGAACCTAAAAGATATACATGGTACCCAAGAGAAGAGAAATGAGGCAAGATCCTCTGAACAGATGGGGAACACGGCGAGGGGTGGGGGGGAGGGGGACCTGGGAAATAGAGAGGGGGAGAAGAGGAAGAGAGAGTAGGACATGGAGGAACAGGAAGGTCGACTGGGGGGGGGTAGAATAGGGGGAAGAGGGAATCATAGGTTAGAAGACAGACCAGGCACCATTGTGACTTCTAGTGATCTAAAGGGATGACACCAATTGGCAAGCTAAGCAATAGTAGAGAGACCACCTCGAATGCCCATTCCTGATAGTGAACTTGATGTCTATAACCATCCTGGAGCCTTCATCCAGTGACTGATGGAAGCAGAGGCAAACACCCACAGTTAAATACTGAACAGAACCCAAGGAACCCAGTGACAGAGAGAGAGGAGCGAAGAGCAAATTGGCAAAGAATGGGCTGGCAAAACCAGCAGAGACAGCTGATCCGAACAGGGGAGAGCTCTTGGACCCCAGACCGACAGCTGGGAGGCCAGCATGGGACCAATCCAGATCCCCTGAATGTGAGAGTCAGTGAGGAGGCCTGGGCTACCTATGGGGTCCTGAGCAGTGGATCAGTGTTTATCCCTCGAATACTAACAGACATCGTGTGCCCATAACACAAAGAGGGTTGCTCTCTCTGCCTGGACTCTTAGGGAAGTGCCTGGACCCTACCCTGAGTGAAATGATAGACTCTAGATATCCCCTATGCAGAAGGAATTGGCAATAGGATGGGAGGATGGGGGGGTGTGGGAGGAGGGGAGGGAGAGGGAACTGGGATTGACATGTAAAATAAGCTATTTAAAATTAAAATAAAAAAATGGAAATAGATTCAAGAATAAAGGAAGGGTTAAATTCATTCTTTCAATGAAATCTGAAACAACCAGCAAATAGTAATCATGAAAATTATATAGCAACATGGAAAAATGGTTAGCAGGTAATTGGAAAAGCAGAATAAACCATCTCTGCTATGATTAGAACTATAAAATCAAAAGCATATGTGCCATGAACAGGCACTGGAAAGAAGCCTGGAAAATGGAAAACGTACTTCAGGAGGGTGAACACTCCGTGTGTGTGTGTGTGTGTGTGTGTGTGTGTGTGTGTGTGTGTGTCTGACCTAACTACTATGAAAATCCCACAGACTTGGCACACCTGGATGCGGTTCACAGGAAACCACAGACTAGACTGTTGTCTTGGAGACACCACAAGGAGCTTCCTGATAAGGACTGCTCCAACCATGGTACCAGGCAGGAGCCTGGTGTTGGGAGACGCTGGGCGAAGTGACACCCCTGGAGGCAGCTCCCTATGGTCACGCCAGTGGGACAGCACCAACTCCCACAGACACGGTGTGGCCTGCAGAGCCTGTGCTCCAGGTGAGGGGAGACCTGGTGGACCTGGTGCTGAGGTGCTTCATGGACATTAAACGGGGGAGTGTTGAACAGCAGGGAGTTCTAGGAGCAGCAGGGAGCTCCCCTGCTGGGGAAAGTTTACAACTGAAGGTAGCTTCGGGTCCACATGTTTGAATTCCTGAGTGTCACTTCTAGGACTTCAGCTTAAGGCGATAGGTAGAATTCAGGGCAAACGCAGTAGAAAGACAGTCCTTAGAGCATGACCGAGAAGCTGGGTGACCGTGAAGAGCTGAATTACACAGTGGATTGCTACATAACCACAAAAAACCTGAGATCTGCACTGTATTTGCAAAAACCATGAGTAAACTCATTACACAAACTACGAAAAGGAATGTAAAAGAGCCGTCCATGAAGGACGAGCCCCGGGGAAGGGAATGGCGGGAACAGAACTGGCTGGTGCCCAGTGCAGTCTGTGGCTCACAGGACTCCCAGTCCGCCTCCCCTCCCCCTCTTCCCAGCGCGACGTGGGCGCACAAGTAACAGGTACGAGTAACAGGTTCAGGAGTCACCGACACCCCTCTTCTTTTTAGCACTGCCCTGCTCAAAAAAAAAAAAATCAAAAGAACACACAATCTTTATTAAATTATACTCACATAGCACTAAGCTGAGCAGCCACACTATCTCCAGAACCATCGGAAGCCTAGTGAAAGGGCCCCTTTTTCCAGGATTAGCTTACACGCCTCAGTTTCAAGAAGAAACAATTAAGAATTGAAGGCTTAAAATATAGAAACAAATTGTTTCAGCCTTTGGAACAAAGTCATAATGACGTTAGTATCAAATTTCCCATCCTGCACTGACTGCTGTGTTGCTGGGTCTAGGCTTCTACTGTGAAGACATGGGGCATTTCCAAGGACCTTAGCAGGATCAGGATGACAAGCGGAACTCAGCTGGGAGAGTCTGGGAACTGCAGCGATCAGAGATCAGAACAGCCCCACTCTTTTGATGCAATGTCTGTGTTACAGGAATTCTAAATGACCAAAGCTAATCCTCAGGCAAGGATGGTGCACACTCCACCCTGAGACCTGCTGAGCTGAATCCACACTCCTGCTGTGTTACAGTATAAAGGGGAAAAAAAAACCTCAAAGCAACCTCAAGTTAAGCCTCATGTCTTAATGCCAGCCCTGATAATTAAACAAGACTATGAGGTTTGACACAAAGTCTTATCCCTAAGAAAACCCATCTGTTAAAAAAATTAATGCTCTTTTAAAAGATGGGGAAATGTATTTGAAAATGGCAAGCTGTACTCAGCCACACATGGGAAATCGAGAGTACAGCCCTCCACACAAGACCCAGGAAATACTACGGCAGAGCCAGAGGTCAGGGATGACGGAACACTTAATACACCCTGCTGCTGCACTCATGAACTCACAGCAGCCAAGGTCAAGCCAGTCAACAGGCCAACACAGCTGGAAGAGACACACAGGTCCCAGTCCTTAGCAGAGGAACCAACGGCAGCCGATGTCTGGTAAAGGCAGTGAGAGGCAGTTTTTCTTTAGGGGTGTGGTTCCTGGAAGGTTGGTCATACTCCAGCGGATGCCCCCATCCCCACGAGTACACAGACAGAACTACTTGGGCTCAGTAAGTTATTACATTAAAAAAAAAAAAACAGAACATGAGGTTTGGACGGTGACATGTAGGAGGAGGATCTGGGAGGGGTTGGGGTGTATGTGATCAAAATGCATTATATGAAATTCCCAAAGATTCGATAAAATATATTAGCATGATGTGCTGGAACAAAAGTGGACATTAACAGGACTGAATGACACATTTATTGGACGAACACGGTTAGGAGGGAACTGAAGGAGAACTATATGAACGGAGTGATATTACGTCAGTGTGCAGAAGCACTCTGACGGGTTCTGGCACTAATCATATGGGCAGAAAAGCAAAGATTTGTTGCTGACACAAACTCAGACGGTGGGTGGTAGAGGCAAGATCCCAGCATGATCTGACCGACAGCCATTACTCAGGAGCTCCATCCATGGCGTGGGATGAGACAAGCCACCCACTCTGCTCCATGAGGTGGGCTCTCCCAGATGGTAGGTCACCATGACCCATTTTCTTCAGTGGTGTTTGTTTCTGTTTCTCTTTTTTAAAAATAATGTTGATACATAGTTGTGGTTTCAAAACCAATCATTACAGGTTTTTATTTTAAGTATATTTTTAAGAGCAGAAGCAAATAACCAAGTTAGCCAGAGGCCATACTGATGTCTTAACATCAGTATGTTATAATATCAGTATGCCGTACATCACTATGTATCGGTATAATACAGGGGTCACAAGCCTGGAGGGCTCCAGGGAGCACCTACAACAAACTTAAGGGCTATAAGTTTATCTCATAGCCACAGTGAGTCGTGGCCCAGGGCCAGCCTGCTCAGGCTCAGAAATGACCAGAAGAAAAAGGGAAAGGCTGTCTACCCAGGGAAAGGCTTTTCTCTTAGGTCAGGAAAACAATTCCTCGAGGCCTTCCTCAGTGTCTGCTCCTTTGTTCTCCCCCTCTACTGGATAGGAAGAATATGTCCATATTGAACAACATAACCTGAGGCCTGTACAGCTGCATACACATCAGACATCAACACTCTGACTGGCAGTCTGGCTGGAACCCAGGAATACCACAGGGACACACTTCTAGCTTGGAGCAAGTCCCTGTCACCTTTGTTGTGGCCATGGATGACCCATCTTTTGTAAGTCTAAAACACATTCCACACTATAAATGAGAGAGTGTTCTTCGGTTGAACAGTGGTCACAGTGATGGGTTTAACTTTACAGAGAAGACTACATTAGAAGAATATGAATTATACAGAGGAGATGAATAAATTTCATAGACTTTACCATAGCATTCTAGCTGGATAGTGAGTTACTTGGGAGATGGCAAAAAGTGAGCTACCACTATCCACCTATTATAATGAGCACATCCTTCAGAGTGATGCCATCACCTACAGTGAGGATGTGGAGCAAAGGGATGCTTCCCAGCTGCTGGTGGGAATGCAAAATGGTGCAGTCACTTTGTAAAAAAGTTTCCGCGGTTACTTTCAAAGTTAACTATAGTCTTGCCACATGATCTAGCAATCAGTCTCCTTCATATTTAATCAAAGAAGTTGGAAACATATTGACCAAAAGCTTGCATTTGGATATTTTTAGAAACTTCGTTCATACTTGCCAAAACTTAAGAGGCAACCAGATACTCTTCAGTAGCTATGTGGATAAATAAACTGTGGTTAACCCAGGGCTGGGAAGACACCTTAGTTGGTAAAAATGAGTGTCATGGAAGCTGTAAGCATGAGAATTTGAGCTCAGGTCCCCAAGAAACACAAAATCTGGGCGTGATATAGGCTTCTAACCGTAGCACTGGGGAGTCTGGAGCTCAATGAGCTACAGGTTCAGGGAGAGACTCTACTTCAAAAAATATAGAGTAATTGTGGAAGATAACACAACATGGACCTCTGCCTCTAAACACACGTGCACAAACATGTTCAGGCACCCACATGTATCTGTACAAACACATATATACACTCTTGCACTACACAAAATGAAAGAAGTCACCCATCCATGAGCACCATGGAAGAAGCTCAATGCATGTTACCAGGTAAAAGAAACCAATCTGAAAGTGCTACATAGTTTGTGTTTACAGCATAAGACATTCTAGAAAAGTCCAAACTATTGGTGGGGAGGGGAGGTCTTAACTATGTGGGTGGAATGAGTTGGGAGAGCAGAAGGGAAACATTTGAGAACAAAGAAAATACTTTGTGTGACATCATACTGATGAGCAAATACCAAAGGTATTTCTTAAGCCCATTAACACCAAGAGTGAACTCTCCATCTTGGGAAATTTAAGCTAGAGGCAATGAATGGAGTCTGACAGGAGACAATCAGTTTTCTTCATGGATGAATGCCCCAATAAGTTATTAAATCCTACATGGTCAGGCCTAAATACAGGTACATGTGAGCAACGCTAAATGGACTCGTGTGTGTATGTGTGTGTGTGTGTGTGTGTGTGTGTGTGTGTGTGTGCGCTGCGCGTGCGTGTGTGTAATAATAGTAACAACCAAAGAAGTAGGGCTCGTGAATATGGCAGGGAGTGGGGAGCATGGAAGGAGTAGGAGGGGAAAAGGGAGGGACGGAAATGATGTAAATTTTCAAGAAATTATAACTTTAAAAGACCGAGCTCTAAGTAAGCTATGGCCCTCACTTACTGACGTAAGGACACTAGCTCATCAGCTGTAACACTGTGCTGCAGGATGCCACAAATGGAGAGCCCACATTCACATGGGATCTCTAGACCCGGCTACCTTCCTGTCATGGGTCTAAGAAGTGAAATCAATTAATAGAGATGTTTCGACGAAGCGGCCAGAGACCCGGCTCTGGGTGGTATGCCTCACCACACGGATGGCAGATAGGGTCCAGCGGCTGACTCACGATGAGTGACTGTTGAGTCACAGCTACAGGACATTTCTGCATTTTCAGCTGCCAAGACGGGTCACCCACATCCTGCCTTGCTGCGCCCCCACCCCCACACTAAATACAGGACTTGACATTTATCCCACTGAATTTGGTCTTGTTCGAGTCAGACCAGTAGCTCTAGCCTCTTAAGCCCTGGCATGTCTCCTCACAGCTGCACTGCAGGCAGCCCTGCCAGGCATCTATAAAAGGAAACCTCCTTCAGAGTGCATAGAAAAGCAGGAAATGACTGTCCAGACGGAAGTGCCAGCAAGGAGTTCGGTTCTGCCCCATGACTCGGAGCTGCAGAGTCAGAGGGAGCAAGGCTGTGTCTACTGACCTGCCCCCTGCTTCAGCAGCTCGGCTGCTGAGTTGGCTGCCGTCTGGGGAGAGGTTTCTGCTATTTCCTCCAGTGGATCTGCAGGAAGACGAGAGAAAAGAGAAACAAGTGTTCATGACGGGAATCCCAGCCGGTGACAGCCATTTTAACCTTCAACAGTTCAGTCACAGAAACTTCCATCCCATCCAGAACACAGACGGGGGAGCATGGTTCCCCTCAAACATTTTCCTAGACTCTGAATTCATTTACATGAATGATCAACATTTAAAAGAAAAGCCCCCCATTTACCTACAGGGAAGCTGGAACACACAATCAAGCCCCATATTCCTTAGATACTAATTTTTAAAAGTTTTAACTTTTCTAACAAACATAAAAATAAAGAGATGTGTTCATTCATGACCTAAATCTAGCCATAGCAGCTTATGTCCCATTTTGTAAGTCTGTCCTTATGTAATGCAAGTGACCCTGAAGATCAGGGAATACATACACACATGTGTGTATGATACATTACTTATTTATGTATACATGCTTTACAAGAATGTATGTCTGTGGACCTCATGAATGCCTGCTGCCCAATGAGACTAGAAAAGACCAGATATCTGGAATGGGAGTTAATAAACATTTGGGAGCCATCTGATGTCAGTGCTTGGAAATGAACCCAGATCCTTGCAACCAGTGCTCTTAACCACTGAGCCATCCGTCCAGTCCCCGCATGTCTTACATCTTTAAGCTAAAGAGTCTTTGTTTCCTAGAAACCTTCCAATGAGTAATGTCTTGGGGCTGCTGTTTGCAGCAGCAGGGCCTTCTCCCTTAAATCGGTGGCCACCCGCTTTCTTTGGGGTTTATGTAGAGCACTAAAGAATCTCATTATTCTCTAAGGATCTGTGCAGGTCCCGGGAGCAGCACGCTATCAACAATGCAGAACGCCTCACACCGCCAGTGCACACAGAGGCCTCCCCGCTCACACCGCCTCCCCCGCATACCTCTCTCCGGAATGAGCAGCTTGCAGGGCAAAGCCAAGGGTGTAATGGAGTGCTGGCACACCAACGCCGTCAGGCTCCCTGCAGAGTGGACGAGAGCAAATGAGCATCACCAAGTTCTTCACCTGCTGGGTGTTTAGCCAGAGAAACACTCGAGACCACACTCTCAAAAGCCAAGCCTTTATACCACTGTGGGATGTGACCCGCAACGCCCAGAGGTGACAGTGAAGGTCCCAAGACAGTGAAGAGGTCCACCAAGAGACCTGCAGTATATTCCCAGCACATGGGCTTTGTATGCACAAAGTACCCTGTGCTTCTTAACAAGTAGGATGCTAGGCTGCCCAGTTTATCCACAAGGCTGTGAAAGGCTCTCCTTTACAAAGAAGGAGGGGGGCTCTGGTGGTAGCTGTGTGCTCCTCCTTGTGTCTGAGGGATGGGGGTCACACTGGGCTCTAACCCTGATGGAGCCCTTCACAGTACTTGTTGGCCGTCTTAGTCTAGCCCTCGGATGGTCCTTTCATCTATTTGGTTTTGACAAAGCTTTTGAAGACAATTACACTTTCGGCTTATCTTAAAGACAGACGGAGGCAGCTTTAGACCTGGGGGCTGAAGTGAGAGCAATACACCATGGCAGAGAGGCCCCGGGATCTCAAGCAGCCTGAAGGAGGAGATCCCTGCCCTGGTAAGCCTCAAGAGAGCGTCTCAAGTAACTCACCAAAGTATGGTTCATTGGAGCACCCTTTCAACCGCACTCCCTTCGGGGTACACTCAATCAAGAAATGCCGGACGAGCTCATTGGACAAATCTCCAGCTGCAGAAAGAATAAGAAAATAACTTTTAAAATGCAAAGCCCAGGGGAATCAGAGTAGGGGGGAAAGCTAGGAAGAGAGAAAGGAGAGATGGATAGATGGTGGAGAGACGGATAGACTAGACAGACAGATAAAAAGACACTCCTGCAGATACAGAAGCTAAGAGCTACACCTAAGAAGGCTCCCTCTGAACAGGATTAAACTGCTACCTAGAACCACCCTTGGGACGGCTGACGCGCAGCGCTGTAAACCAGGTGGATAATAAAATCTCTTGGAGTGGAAATGTGGAGACTAAGAGAGTCCCCCCAGAGACATCTCAGACGCTACAAGAACTCCCAGAGAAGGGATGGATTGGCAGCTCAGAATGACACTGGCCTTGGAGCACTAGCTACATTCCTCCAAGAGAGGAAGGGGCACTGAGGCTGGGCAGAAAAGACTTCAGGAAAGAGCTGGAAGGACGCCAGGCCCCTGGGTGAGGGAGCCGACAGCTGAGAACAGAAACGCCTTCAGCGACAAGCATTCTGCTATGCAGGAGCAGCATTCCACTCTACTGCTGGTCAACAGAGCACTTGTGCTCACCCCAGCTGCTCACCCAAAGAGAAGAGGCACCAGGAGAAGCCGCTGAATGGTCAATGTTTGGCAGATGGAAAAGTACAAACTGAGCCAGGAGAAAGAGAACTCGCTGCCCATGCTGCCCACGCTGCCGCAGTCAGGAGACACCCCGGGGGCTCTCTCTCCTCTCCTTGCTGTCTTTACCACCCTCCGTAAGAGCTGACTTTTCAATATTGCTGATATTGAAACTTCCTGGTAGCAAGACCTGCTGAACCTGGGCTTGGAGCGGTTGCCAGACTCTAGCCTGAGTAGGCTAAATATCCCTAGTCCCAAATCCAAAACATGGAAAAATTTAGGTACCAGTATGAAGCCATAAATGGACGATTTTATACCATGAAACTCTGATTCACGTACAAACTAATGGGAAATACTGCATGACATTAACAGGTATGAAGTGTGTATGAATTCTATAGAAAATGCAAATGAATTTAATGCTAAGGCTTGGGACTCTCAGGTTCTGTTCCCAGCATCCATAAGGCAGCACACAACTGCTAGTAATTCCAGTTTCAGGGGATCAGACACCCTCTTCTAGACTGCATGGGCACCAGAAATGTACAAACTACACAGGCAGACATACAGGAAAAGCGCCATGCAAATAAAATTATAAAGTAATAAAAAATGTTAAGGACTTGAGCCGCATTCCCAAAGTATCTCATTATGCACGTATAAATACTCTGAAATCTGAAAATAATCCCCAGACACATCTGTTTGGGGTCGTTTTTGATGAAGTACGATGAGCTGGAATTAGGCTCCAAATGATGTTTATAAACAGTAGCACCCATTAGTAACAGTGTGTGTCAGCATTTTCCAGAGGCTGTCGAGCTTGCAGAAGAGAATGGTGTGATCCCATGAAAGTCTGTGTCTGATAAAATGGAGGGGATAGACATATGACCCTTCCTCTGTGGGAGGAGCAGATGCAGGATGTCCAGTCTAATGGGGAAACCCACTGAAGGCCTGGATTCTACCTGTGGGAAATAGACGCACTCAGATCCTGCTGCCAAGGGCTTTTTGAAATGCAGAGTCTGGAATGGCCACAGTCATCTCAGAATGACTGGAGGTGGCACCGTGACTCACTGGTCTTCACTCATTTGGCAATCTCTTCTCTCAAATCTATCCTTGGACTACAAAACAGATGTCAATCCAGACCTGGGTGTACACACACAGGCGAGACTGCCTCCACCCAGTGGAGGCCACCATGCTGCGTTTCTTGACACTGCTAGTCACACAGACTCTATTCTGTTCCTTTATCCTCAGACGTAGTATAAAGTCTGCCCAAGGCAGGACACGTTCCCAGACTTTATAAGACTGGCCCTAAGTGTCTCTAACCAGTGCTCCCAGGTAAGTCCTCAGCAGCCAGGTCTAAGTGAGCACTCAGTGATGAAGGGCTATTTCCACCCGGCAGTAGTGTCGTGTTGAGATTCTTATGATGGGAATCCTAGATGTGCTATGAAGCTACATCTGTGTGATCTCCCTTATCCTGCTCCCTCACCAGAAGTCCTGCCTTGCTGGCACCCGCAGGTTTGGGGCTATGCTCTCTGACTGAGCAACAGTGCCTCCCAACCTCACTCCCTAGCCTTGTAAGACAAGCACATTCCAGGAAGCGCGTCACCTACCCATGCCCATGGCTAGCCCATCTGTACCGTATCTTACACTCTTGGTGCAGCCAGAACCTGCTCGTGCAGGAAGGTTTCAGCACAGATTTCAGGCACTGATTTGGACAGATCTCCTAAGACCCAGGCGTGGGGTCTTTACGTACAGGAGGTACGTAAAGCATCTGTGCTTCTTCTGATTCCTCTCCCCTGCTAAAGCAATGTCTCCTCCTACAGGTCCGCGTGGCAAAGGCTCAGCTCCCAGAGGAACATTCTGGCGGTCAGTGGGGATGCGAGAAAGTAGGAAGAGGTCTTAGGGTCACTGCGAGCACGCCTTCGAGGGAGGTGGTGGAACCTAACTTCCTCCTCGCCCTCTCCCTCTCCCTCTGCAGGCAAAGGGTGAACATGTACCACTCCCTTAAGCACAATCATGCTATTCTGATGGTTCATCACAGGCCTAGTACCAGAGCCAATTAAATGAGCTGAACCATCCAAAACTGTAGGCCACAGTGAACCTCATCCCATGATGAGATAATTACCTCTGGCACCTTGTCACAGGGCGACTTCCACACACTCCTCCTGACCTGGGGTTGTTCTTTCCCCCAGTCCATTTTGGTGACAAAGAGAAGACAAAGGAGACCTTTTCCTTGCTAGAGTTGGTGATACTTGGTAAAAGAGACCTTTTCCTTGCTAGAGTTGGTGATACTTGGTAAAGATGGTTTTATATAGGGGTAAAGACGGTGGATGAGCAAAACCATAAAAATCCACCAACAATGCAAAGCATGTTAAGGAATATATATATATCAAGAACACAGAGGCTAGAGAGATGACTCGGAGGTTAAGAGCACAGACTGCTCTTCCCAGCAACCACATGGAGGCTCACAACCATCTGTAATGAGTTCTGGACTCTATTCTGGCCTGCAGGCATACATACTGGCAGAACACTGCATACATAGTAGGTAGGTAGGTAGATGAAAGTTTAAAAAATAATAATTAAAAAAAGAGCTATGAAAGAGAATAAGAACTATAATTTTAGAATTCAGTGACTCGGAATTTTGATTCAAAACAAGACATGTAAGAATATGTACTATATTAGTGTTCATACTGTTTGCCTGTCAGTGATAAACCAAGCAGTAATGTTTTACATGTGGCCACCACCCAAAGGAGGAAAGGCTGACACGGAAAACAGGGTGCTCTCCTATTACTAAAAAAAGATTATGTGCTTAAAACAAAAGAAGATAAAATGTACATTCTTAAACAAGATAACGACTTAAGAAAATAGCCTTAACCCTGAACAGGGCCAGAGCAAGCAGCTACATTATCTGCCACAGCATTCACCTCGAGACAAGCCACAGACAATCCCAGCTACTCCAGGGAACCTTACCTTTTTTGTTCAGGTGCAAGACGGAAGGAGGAGGTGTGGCCACCTTCATGGCCAGGCCGTAGGCGCCTCGGAAAGAGTGACTGTCCCTCACAATGAATGACCCAGGAGCTTTGTCCTTCAACATGGCGATGGCTAGAGGAGGGAGAGGCATGGGTGACTTCAGGGGACACAGGCCACAGTCCACCCAGACCCCAAGACGGCTCCTGCTGTGCTTTGACCAAGTCCCACTCTGAAACTCACACCGAAATCAGAGCCCTGACGCTAAACACAACAGTTCTCTTGGGGTTGGGCGATGGTCCCAGGCACAGCTCAGCGGCTTGAAGGTGGACTGAGCAAGGTGGCCACTGACTCACTGACATCCTCTCTCTTCGGCACACGCCTACTTGCTCCTCTCTTCACCAGTGTGAAACTGGTGCTGACGTGCTTGGACTCCTATATAACCGCAGGGGCTCTGTGACAGCCTCAGAAATGGACTAAAGCAGTCCCTTCCCCCAGCTGCTTCTGCAACCAGGCCTGGTGTGGACCCTGCCTGGTAGACAAACACGGGGTAAGTGAGGAAAATGCTGTCTTTTCGCCTCCCTGGTAAGCAGGGAGAAGAGAGCACGGAGACGACAGCAGCACAGGGCTGCTCCCGAGCCCTTGGACTTGCTAAGCAGCCTTTACAAAGGCCGCCCAAGGGAAATGAGAGCCTTTCCGGGCCACAGTTGTTTTCCCCATTTCTTTTCCATTTAAAATGACAACAGCTTCCTTGAGCTCCCACGAACAACTAGAGTTTTGAGCTCTCTATTATCTCCAAAACCCAAGGGCAGGATCTCAGGTGCAGACTAGCTTTCCTGAGAGATGGAGAGCCGTCAGCTCCCTGTGCACCACGACGACCAGGCAGGCAGTGTGGGCGGGTGCGTGCAGGCTACAGGTGCTGGGTATAGCCAGAGTTCCAAACACTCTGTTCCCTCTCATAGCCCATAGCCACCAAGCTGACTGTCCCCCGTGCACCTCTCTCCTCTGTGACCCTCTTTGTACAGTGCTCGGAGGAGTCCGCAGTAGAGACCAAGCAGAGTGTCTCTTCCTCGGATTAGTGCTGGGCTGGCATGACTGGTGAGCGAAACAGCCAGAGTTCACATGCCGCACCCTGGGATGCGTGTGGCTTGGACCCACCTCCCAATCACACCCTTACCCACACCCTCACCCACACCCTCACCCACACTCTCACTGGTACTGAGTTTTTCCCATAAAAAGGTGAAGGTTGTGAAATTTTCCCCAGAGGCCTATAATAAAGGTGTGTTTTGCTCTAATTTAATCTGATGGAAGAACCCAGAGACCAACTATGACTGACACTGTGAGAGGTCCCCTGTCCCCACCTACCTTGCTCCCGTGAGATATCTGCCTTGTACCAGAACTTGGAAGTGTCTTGAACAAACTTCACAATCACGAGTTTATCATTTGGGCTGTCTGTGAAGCAAAATTTTAACACAGAACATTTTTATTGCTGCCTCATTTATGATGATGATGATGTCACAAGTCCAAATCCACGCCTAGGTTTGGGGGACAGACATGAGGGTCCTAAGAGGGGGAAGGAAACAGCTCAAAGGAGCAAACAGTAGGGAGAGTCAGTGCTCATGCCGCCATGCAAAACACAGATGTCTGCAATCCCAGAAAGGAGGACACAGAAGCAAGGTTGGTGCCAAACGCTTGACACAGTTCATAACTCATTTCTGGATCAAGTATTCAATCGGGAAAAAGAAAACAACTTTCAAGGATCTTTATTTTCAAGTCAAAGTTAAAGCAGAAGCATTGCAGTATCTGCACCTCCTACTGCTGGGAATCAGTCACCCAGCTTTAGAACGACAGTGTGGCCAAGAGCCATGGGGAGGGGGATCATCTGAACAGTTCCTGCAGGGCACGGGACGCTGCTCAAATGGGCAGCCCCAGAGCCCTCCTCCCCTAAGGGAACGGGCAGAGGTGGAGACATACCTGGCGAGGGTGAGGCTACTTCTGAAGGCTTGCAGAAGTCTGGAAGGACATTCGGGAAGGGGATACTCATGGTGCTCCCGCTGTGGGGGCTGGAGAAGCCACTGGAGGAGGGTGAGACTGAGCCCAAAGAGCGGTCACCCTCCGAGGCTCTCTTCTTCTCAGGGAGGGGCGGCTGCCCGGGCAGGCTTAACCCCTGGTTCTGCAGGCCTGGACTGTGGTGACTGCTGGGTCCAGGTGACACCGTGAGAAAGTTGTGGGGCAGGAAGCCATTGTCAGTAGCCCCTGCTGTTGTCAGAGGGGCCCCAGGAGCTGATGATGTCCCATGGGAATTGACCAGCAGGGCACCTGGGTCCTCGCCAGGCGGAAGGCCACTTGATACCGAGGCAGTGTTGAAGCCTAAGAAGGCTTGGCTGCCTGCGGGGGGCAGAGCATCTTGAGGCTCTGACATGGACAGCTCATGGCTGTGAAAGGAGGCCTGGAGCTCTGAGGATTGGAAGCAGGGCCGCCCTGGAGAGTCCTTGCCGGAGACGCAGAACTCGTGGGTGCCGCGGGGACTTTCAGAGGGGTGGCTATTCCCCAGTCGGGCTAGGGTAGACTTGGGGCTGCTCTCCACCCACTGGCGTTCTGCAGAAGGCGGGCTGTTCAAAAGACAAAACCATCCATAAGGGAATGTAAGGGACATAAGGCTACTTCGAAATCAGTAACCCTTGCAAGACATAGATAAGACAGGGCTGGGGATGTGGGCACTGAGGCTTGCTGGACAGCAGAAAAGATGTTTCAGGGACACAGGTCAACCTTGATCTAAAAGTGTTCAATTGAAAATTCTAGAAATAAACAACCGTTAAGTCTTAAATGTCATTCTGAGTGGAATGCTGATTCATATGCTGTCCTACTCCATCATGTTCAGGTTGTGAATTGTCCCTGATTCAGGGTATCCAGGTGGTATATGCTACCACTTTTAGTAGTTACATGATTGGTCGGTGTTGTATGACTGTGTTCATGTTTAAGTAACTCTCAGGTTACTTAACAATGGCTCCCAGGGGGCTGAAGAAAGGGTTTAGTGGTTAATCACTGACTGCTCTTACAGAGGATCAGGGTTTGGGTCCCAGCACCCACACAGTGCCTCACCACCTATAACTGTTCCAGATCTGATGCCCTCTTCTGACCTATACAGGGACCAGGCATATGTGTGGTAAACAGACATACATGCAGACAAAACAGTAATCCAATAAAAATAAAGATAAAAGCATTAAAAATAAAAATAGCTCCAAAGAGCAAGAATGAGGACGCTGGCTTATTGGCTAACCCAACGGTTCCTTTGAGAAAAAAGTCAAAATTATCATAGGTATGAATACTTGAGAAAAACATACTATGTGCAGGGTTTGGTCCTGTCTAAGATCTCAGGCATCAACCAGTCCTAAGACCATATCTCCTGCAGACGGGGGGACAACTTGACTGGGAATTATCACATTCAGGAACCAAGAAAAGCCACTAAAAACACAGTTCTTGTCATAAACACATTTAAATGGATACAGACTAGGTACAGACTCTACATGTGATGCAAGTCCTTTTAAATTTTAATTTTTCAAAATTTATTCTTTCTTTCCTTCCTCCTTCCCTCCCTTCTTTTTTTCTGTTGGTTTTTTGAGACACGGTTTCTCTGTGTAGCCCTGGCCATCCTGGAACTCACTTTGTAGACCAGGCTAGCCTTGAACTTAGAGAGTGACCTGCTTCTGCCTCCTAAGCGCTGGGATTAAAGGTGTATGCCACTACTGTCCAGTTGACCCCCTTTATTTTAGTGGGAAGGGAAACGGGAAACCTGTACAAGGGGCACGGGGGAGTTTAGTTCTACTCTGGGACAGAGTGGCAGCTGACCTTACTGAGTTTCTCAAGGCCTGCATTTTTTTAAAACAAAAGAGGGCAGTTTGGTCTGCCACAGTCCCTTTCCTCCTTTCCATTTTTGCAATACTTTCTGCTACATTTTCCTATGAGTTCATGTATTTTCCAGTGCCGGGGAACAAGAGCAAGTTCTACGAGCAGTGGTGTCTGGCACAGAGCCCTGAGCACGGGCTTTCCTACCATGTCCGAGTGGGATCTCACTGTTGGGCCCTGCTCCACCTACTCTTTTCTTTCTGCTCTCCGCTCAGTGCTCTGGCCTCCGAGGGAACTTCTAACAAGGCAAAATCCCTTCTTCCCACCTCTCTCTCCTCTGGCCAGGTCCACCGCTTGAAACTGTGCAGGAAGATGCAAACATCTGCTGAAAGTTGGGTGTTGCAGGCATATCAGCCCGAAGCACGGTGGGTTTGGGTCCGATGGGACTCTCTGACATCCCCACAGTGTGGCTGATAATCTCTGGGCAGCCTCGTGGTTCTGAAACAAGGGAACAGAAAGCAGAGAGATCCATGAGCCACAGCCCTTCCCCGTGTTCATAATGAAATGAGATTTGAAATTTTTCTGTTGCTTGTGGCCACAGTGAACCATGACAGCAATAACACAAGAGGCTGGCGGCAGTGGCTTTGTGCTACGGTGTGTAGACTGTCATCCATTACTGTTTCCAAATGAGAAAACAGCTAATTCAATCTATCCCAAGCTGGCTGCTCACGTGTGAGAGACAGACGTGTGCGGCTCACCCTGGAAACCAGCAGGAGCCTTCGTCCACAGAGATGCTCTCTTCCCTTGAGTGAAGGCACTGAAGAGCTATCATCTGGCATGCTTGCCTTTCCTTTCGTTCCTACTCTCCCATGAGTAACTCTGGGCTGCACATCCAAGGGACCATGGGGCACAGATCTAATAAGCTACATACTATTCTTGGGAGATGAAGATGCAGGCTCAGAATTGGCAAGGCATCTGGGACCAAGAAGGCCAAAGTTACAGAGAAAGAGGACTTGGAACAAGTCAGATATACCTCAGTCCAAAGCCTCAGGGGTTGGCACCAAGTACCCAGGAACAAGTGGCTCCTGGGAGCCAAAAAGGACTTAGGCAGTTTCTTCTGGGTGGTAACAAAAACCTGTGTATGGGAAACACTCAGAAAGCATGACCCTGGCCAATAAAAGCTTCCAATACCCTAGGTCCCAGGGCACCGGAGACAGGACAGGACAACGTTCTTTTACCCCACTTTAAAACCAAATCTTCTCTGAGGGATATCCCGCCACCCCAAACCTGCCTCCCCCTTCACCTAACTTAATTCTGATATCATCTCACACTTCCAATTAATATTGTCAGGAAGCATGATAAGTTAAAAAAACAAAACCTAAAATCACTACCTTCCCAAACAAAATGAAACAAAACCCCACCACCAAAAGACATAGCCGGTTCAAAAATTGGAGCTAAAACATGCAGACTACAAAGAAACAGAAAATAGAGAAACTCACATTTCACCAACGAACCTGAGTCCCTAAAGACAATGAAGTGGAAACTCTAGAAATTATAAGCGGAACAGAAGAAATAAGCCTGCGGTAGGGACTTCAGCAGTGGACGGGACTCAGCGGAGGAGAGAGCAAACCTGGGTGAGGAGAGGAAGACGGAGGAGACGGGACAGAGAACACAACTCCGCCTGAGAGACCAGTGCCAGGATAACAGTTCCCATTACCGCAAACCTGCACGGAGGGGGCACCGCACGAAGCAGAAGCCATGCTGGAAAAGACATTAACTGAGGGCTTAACCAAAATACCAAAGAAGTCAAACCTCAAGTTAGAAGAAAATTACCATGGATACCAAAACAGGGTAAATTAAAAGGGCTTACTTTTAATGCTAGCTAGTATGACAAAATCCAAGACAAAATCTTAAACACTATTGGGGACCACGATGGAACACCAATTTTTGTGTTGTATTTTTCAGCTCTTATTAAAATTCTCCGTGTAGAAAACCCCAGTCCTGGTGTGAATATTTGAATAAAGCACAGGGTGAATGCCTGTGTCTTCTGGACACCACCAGTACAATCCACAATCAATATTTAAAAAGAAATGCTTGGTGTGCTATTAACTAACTGTATGGTCTCCCAAGTCCGTGCTTCCACTTTCCAGTGGCAGCTGTGTGGGAAAGCAAACACACACTGTTTACAGCACCCCTCCCCTTCACCGTCTTCATTCACATTTATCTGCATTTATTTTCCATCAAAGACATACGGGAGGAGACCAGAACACGGTAGTGACACCAGCTGGTCCTGCCCTCAGGAGGCAAGCATTTGTCAGAGAATGAGGCCTGGACGGAGTGTCGTCTGTGACTTCTACGGAGACCCCTGGATGACGCCCTCTGTCTGGAGGCTGCCTACAGAGTTCATCAGTTACTTTGCTTGTTGCTGTTAAGGGAGGAGTTTATTTTTGCTGCCAGTAAGGGAGCACAGCCCACCACGGTGGGGTATGCATGGGAGCAGGAGAATGAGACAGCCGATGCGTCTCCACTAGGGAAGCAAAGTGTGGGCAGGAAACACGGCTGAGCTATAAAGCCTCAAGGCCCACCCCTAGTGATCCACCTCCTCCAGTGAGACTCTACCTTCCAGAGCTTCCGGAACCTTCCAGAACAGTGAAAGCAGCTGGGGATCAAGAGTGTATAAACACAGGAGCCTGGACAGAATTCACATTTAAATAGCAACATAGAAGAGGTGGCGTTTGATTAAATCCAAGGAGGACAGTGGGCTTCAGGTGGGCACAACAGGCTTGGAGAACACCAACCACTGGCCTGCTGCCCATGGGGGAGACTTGTCCCCACATTTCACTGGTGGTACTTTGAGAAGGTTCTGGTCATGCGTATTACGGATGCACACATGGACGCACGGACGGACGGATGGACAAACAGATGAGGAGGAGTGGCTGGCTTCAAGTTTAGAGCTAGCATCCTGAGGATGATGTGCAAGTTCTACCAGAGCCTGGCTGGAGGACAGCAGGACGTGTGGATCATCCCTGGGATCAAGTTCAGGGAGCAGCACAGATGTCTGGAATCTTTAGAGCTGCTCATCAGAGAAATCACACACAAGCCAGCAGGAGACAGAGGCACGCAGTACCCACCACCTGTCCATGTGACTGCAACTGCTCCAGGAGGCCCCACACTGCGTAGGACAATCCTCATTGCTCCTGTCTCTGCTTGCTGAGACACTGAGCCTTGAGGATCCAGGGGACCCATGCCAAGATTCAGAAGCACTCAATATGCTTACATGGCGCCACAGATTCCCTTCAAATGAGAGCAGGCAGAGGGAAATCAAATCCCACTTTGTTCATGTTATCATCGTGTTTTCCCAGAAAATAGCGAGCCCAGCACTTCCCATGAAAGTGGCTTTGTTTATCATTCATTAGCACCAACTCTGGGGGCACTGTGGCAGTATGGTTCCCTCTTGTTCCGGACCTTGGGTCAGTCCTTAACCCTTTCTTTACAGAAACAGTTAGTTGCCTAAGTACCAGGTTGCATGTTCATGCATTTGGTACGGCAACCCCCCCGCAGGTATATGGTACAATTTCTTCTGCAGATCCCCTTTCCCTGGCTGCATTCAGGAATGCATTCAGCAAACGACAACCTCTACACAGCATAATGTCACAGCACTTACTATGTGGACCTTGGCATTCACAGAAACAGGTGTTAGCTGCTTTTCTAAGTCAGGAGGGGGAGAATGCAGACACCAAGAAGACTCTGGTGGAGGTACCGGTTTGCATGGCAAGAGGAACACACCTGCCGTGCTAAGAGGCTTCCTTTTGGGACACCCTGCTAAGTTTTTCTGTCTAGTATCCTTGCTGTCAGAGCAGTGCATGTGATAGAAACCCCACAGAACTCGGGAGTATGCTGAAATCTTACTCAAGGAAGTTACAGGCTCCAATCAAGCAGCAGTACTCAGACCCTCTGCACAGGTTTCTAGAAATTCGCTCATGAGAAGAGCAGGCCGAATAATGGCCACTGCTCTGTAACTTCAGCATGAGGGTCACAGTATCGCTACTGGTGAAATGTCACTAGCCAGGATAGTGAGCCACCTTGTCCTTCAGAGAAACGGACCTACGGATACCACAGAAGGGGCAACAAGTTTTGAAGCAACTACTCAGAGAGGGTCTACAGGGCAGCCTCAGCCCTTTCAGACCCTGCCTTCCTGAGGCATGAAGCCGTGGCAGGCAGAGGTCTGATGGGCTCCTGCCCAGAAACCATTAGAATCTTCTTGACAGCATCGTTGTATTTTATCCACATTTTACATCTGCTGCTCAAATGCAGAGGAGGGGCTGGAGGGACAGTACCGTGTTTAAAATTCCAAGACCACCCCACTTTCTGGGTTTTCCTCCAAGCCTGTGTGTATATCTATGGTGTCCTATGGTTTAGCGGTACAGAAACCTCTGCCTAGCATCTCTTCCCAGGCCAGGCGGGAACCGGGGGGCATATGCCCAACCTCTTGGGATTTCAGGAATGCCTGCACTCTTCTCCTCTCGGCTTCCACTTCCTCCACTTCCTGTACCAGAACAAGGGTGAGGAGGGGTCACTGGCTTTCTTCCAAATGATCTATTTTTATGCTTTCTTTCAAAAGCTGCTGCAGGAGTGCTCTGTGGGAAGCTGGGCATCAGTCATTCTACACTGGCTTTAAGTTAACAAGAAGACTCTGCTTATAGCTAGATCACTAGAAGCCTAAACATTAAGAATCTTATTTCCTTCCATCTATCCATCCATCTATCCATCCATCCATCCATCCATCCATTTCCATCTGCCTTCTTCCCTTGTTACTGGTCAGACACAAGTTAAATAAGCAGCATCCTTTGCCATCATGTGAGAACCCGGCCATGGTAGCATCAGAACATCTCTTAGCCTGACTCTCACTGGCATAACACATGGGAATACTGGATACATTCTCAAGTTGTGGGGCCTCGGAGCTCTTCTGCCTTATAATCTTATCAATTGAGGGCACAATAGATGGTTTCTATTTCCAGAAGGCAAAACATTTTTATGGGAGGTTTGGTGGTAGTGAAATTTTAAAAAGATATCCTTCTGCTCTCTAAAAATAAAAGGTTATTAGAACCAGTTTTCTGGAAGCAAGGGGGAAAACGGGCAGGCAGTCATATATAATGAGAGTTGGGAAGCCCCAGACACATGTTTCTTGATTGAATCTAACCCTGAATCTCTAGCCCTGCAGCTGGTACACAGACACACATGAAAACATATGAACAGCAAGGTTCATGCTTTCCTGTTGCCAAGCTGCTTCTTGGTAACTTCTGAGGTCAATGTTTATGGTGAATCAACTCGGCTCTTGATACAAGCAAGGTTTTCATTTCCACCAGAGGACGGAGGCATCCTAACTATTGTTGTGGCGGTGGTAATTACTATCAATTTTAAACAGGGTCTCATGAAACTCAGGTTGGCTTTAGACTTACAGTGTAGTCAAGGCTGGTCCCGAAGGCAGGATCCTATGA